TTATTATTATTATTATTATTATTATTATTATTATTATTATTATTATTATTATTATTATTATTATTATTATTATTATTATTATTATATATAATGGGTGTGATATATAAATATTACTGGATGATTTATTTTAATTCCCGAGCGTCGTGCGATTGAACCAAAACTCGAGATTATTAAGTCGTATATAAATTATTATATTTATTCGTTGTCAATCGAACCGTTCGATATTCTTCGATTTTAAGTCTCAGTTCAATTAGAATTTTTCCTAAGTGTTTAAGTTATTCAGCTATAAATTCGATTTTATGTCGAAATAACTCTCGACTAAATTTTATTCAGTAATCAAGTCATTTCTGTAATTAATTAATTCCGATATGTTTATTTTTATGAATGGATTTATAAGATGGGGTTAATCATCATTCTAAGATTATGAATAATGGAAGTCGAGTATATTTTGATTAATAGTTAAAGATAAATTGTGAACTGAACCAGCATGTTCGGTCATAAGTTGAGCCTTAAGCAAATATTAGTCGAGCCTTTGTATTAAAAACTTAGAATTTTTCTAAGTTCCTAAGTCATTAAATTCGACATTGTAACATGCGCCAGCCTGTCCGTGCGGCCTCCAGGTCACTATATGTGCTAATGATGCAAATTGTGATCATATTCCTTCCAGCTAATACATTAAGTAAACAATTGGAGTTTGATATACCTAATAGTTGACTAATCCTAATCTAAGTCGAAAATCTCAGTTCCAATTCATATAAGTTCATTATACTACACCTCATTTTCATGTGTGTAATCGAGAGAAAGCCGAGAGAGAATAAGAGAGTAAGAGTTCAGAATTTATTTTCTTCATTTTTTTTTCACTATTTAAGCTTATTTCTATTTCGACTTACGGTGGCCCGGCAGGATTCGAAAACCGAGTCGAGTATTACCAATGAGTACTTACGTGAAAGTTCAAGAAGAAGAGAAGCCGTTGGCGGTATCGATTTATATTTTGGAGGTACCGATCATTTAATTAGAGAAGCTTGAATTTTAGTAGAAAAATGAGTTAAAATGCCGATGCCGAGTTCCCGTCGTTTCATTCGATTCCTGTAACCGAGCTCGTAATTTCCCGAAGACGGTAAACATTTCCGAACTCTCTCGTTATTGCGGTCGTACTCGTATATCATATGTTATATATATATATATATAGTTCGTATTACCGAATCCTTGTTTGAAGTTGGATTTTTTCGATTTTTATATGCATGATTTAATGCTCCGTTGTGCTGTATATATGACCATAAAAAACTCGTATTTTGTTATTTAGGTCTTCTTATGAAATGTAGTATTTTCTGTTGGCTTTCTCGGGGCTTTGGAATATTGATAATCCGAGTTATACCGAGTGAGTTATGATTTTTATAAAATGAGTGTGCAAGCAGTTTTCGAAAACCCGGCAGCATGTACTAATAAATGTTTGACCTGTTTATAGTATCTTAATGAGCTCAAATGAGTTTGTGATCTTCTTGAAAGTTGTAGGATTGTCTCTTAGCTTTCTAATCATACTAGAATCATGTCATTCGAAGGTCGCATGAGTTAGACGATAAATACTGAGGTGATGTTTATATCATATGTGAGTCTCGGACAGATTTTATGAATCAAAAGTTTTGTATTTAAACTCGTTGATAATGTAATTATTTGCCAATGTGATTATCAGAAAAGTTGTAGATATCTGAATTAGCTATCATGTGGTTTTTGAATCTCAATGAAAGCATGCCTGTAGCTCCAATTAGCCAACAATTAATGAAGTTTGGTCAGTTGCATATTGCCGGTTTTGGACTGTAACTCTATTATGGGTGTTTGCTGATTTATCACCTGTTAAATGGTCTTATTTTCTTTTGGTGTCATCATAAAAATTGTAGATGCATGTCTTAGGATTCCGATACAACTTGAATCATATTCATATGGTTATGTACTGAAAGTTATGTTGATTTCAAAAACGCTGCCCGGGTTAAGTTTTGAAAAACGTATGTGATATTTTTGGAAATGGGATTTCCTTGATTAAATGATTATGTGAGCTTAGTTGGACTAAGTGATTGTTATGATTAGTTGGTCATATGTTGAGTAGTCATTTACAGGACTATTTAAATAAATGTAGGTGCTTGATGAGCCGAGCTCGCTGCCTACCCGTTATTGTTGTGCTTTTGCTGGTTATCGTCCAGGTGGGTTTTACTTATAAAATTGTTTATGTCATACGTGTTGATTAATGTTTAGTTGGTATGACCAATGTATGAATGTGAACCATGTGACCTACCGATGTGAGTTGTTACGGTCGTCGGTACGGTTGTCCCCGTCGAGTTACGGTACGGTTGCCCTTGCGAGGCAAGTCTCCTTAAGACCTAATGAAATGCCTTGTCTGTTACAGTGCCACGCACCCCGTCGTTAGGGTTTATGCATCCCTTTTCCGCGGCTAATGATAGATGTGCACATGAGTGAGTTATTGTTGTGATTATTAGGAGATGAGACATGATGATGATTAATTTATATTCATGCTGCGACCATACCATCTTTACATGTTGTTATGTGCATAGTAGTGAGCACTGTTTTATCATTTGTGCTCATTCTCATCTGCTCTTCACGGATGCAGGTTAAGCAGTTGGCGGGTGACGAAGTGAGACGAGTGGGTGGTCCTTAGTTATTTTATTGCTTCCGTATTATCATGAACTATGTTGAGACTTGTTGAAAATCCGTTTCGAACTTATGTTTTGGTTTATGTCAGATTTGAATCACTCATGATGTTTGGATTTATGAAATTCCAATTTATGCATGCTTTACGATTAAAGCTGAGTATTATGTTATGTGTTGGGAATCGGTTAATGAAAACCATTGTGAAAAATCGGGTTTATGAATCCCCGTGGGTCCAGATAAGACTTGGACTAAGTAAATTGTTGTTTAACACCCATGTATTTTTTAAAATGATTTCGAAAATTATTTACTTGATTTTTGGAAAGCCCGGGATTTCATTAAAATCAAAGTGGGGTGTTACAGTATGGCCCATAATACATGGGTGTTAAACAACAATTTACTTAGTCCAAGTCTTATTTGGACCCACGGGGATTCATAAACCCGATTTTCACAATGGTTTTCATTAACCGGTTCCCAATACATA